GAGCTCCGCGCATGAGATCGTCAGTGCCACTTTGCATTCTGTAGGCTGCGGGGACGCCGCGAACCGGCTGCAAGAGACCGTGCCTCGTCGCGCAGCCAAGTGTTGTGACACTATAATGCTGAGCAAAGCTGCCAGCAGAAGGAAGACCAACAAACACTGTGACTCTCCTCTCCGCGAGACCAAAGCCCAGGAATGCGCCTGCGAGGGCATCTGAAGTCAAAGCGCACCACCGCGCGACGGGGCACCTTCCAGCATTCGGGCAGTTATGAAACCCATGGCTCTGTTTGGACCCCTGGATAACAGCCATCGTAAGATGGCAGAATACGTTCTAGGGCTTCAAAAACATTTATGGTTTTTGACAGGCGCCCATGTGGCCCATGTGCATCCACTCTCAAGACTGACATGGCCCCATACAAGTCACGTTCGTAGCTGGGAGATTTTTGACAGCAAGAGGCCTCTTGTACACACCCAAATTTATTGGATCTTTCGCGAAAAGACTCAAAGGAATCGACATTTGAGAGCCGAGAGGCCAAGAGGAAGTCGCTGGTTGAAAACCTTAATTGCAATCCTGCTATATATCCCTACGTCCCCCTATAATATCTAAATAATGTCTCTAAATTCCTTTAAAATCTCCACGACCACTCTCCATCATTCCTGCAGAACCCTATATAATCCGAATAATCCCTATATGATTCCCATGAGCATTGTATAGTCTCTACATAATCCCTATACACATCCCTTGGGTCCCTGATTCCACCTCAATGCCACCCTCGACCGACCCGGCACGCGTGAAGCAAATCGCACCTTGCTCGGTCGAGTCATACGGAGGATGGAGGAAATATTGCACCACTTCGGATACCCAAAATACTTTTTCGGGTATAGGGTATACAAGGTGGTGCAAGACCTCCTCCATCCACAGTAGTACCATTCACATACGTGCTGCATACAGTTCTTTACAAGATTGTATGCAACGAGATCATGTGTAGGATATAGAGGGTTCGATAAGAAGTGTGCATGGATTCAAAATGCAAGGTTCTTGACAACCACTAGACAGGTATTCTATCACATGTAAGCCACGTTTGTCAGGGCTGCAGCGGGTATAGATCCACGTTTAAGCTTCCATGTTTGTTTGCAGGAGTGCACAAAAGTTCGAATCGGACTTGAAACTGAATTCAACCAGACACTGCTTGCAAGGCATCAAGGCCCAAGAACATGTGCTAAAATGATCTCCCCTTTTGCGGCCCCTCTAGTCAGGGTACTAGACGTTGCGGGAAAATACTCCTCCTTTTTTGGGGGCCCGGTTTTTGGAGGGTCTCTAGACCTCATGACAATAAGCCAGGAGAATCCTAAAGAACCGAGGTTCCAGCGCACGCGCCAAGGGCACAGGTTACGACCGTGGGCGACCTGCGCTCTTGGAGCTTGAAGAAGCCAGGGTCTCTTGTGTTTGGAATGAGACTGGTGTTTGTTATGAGGGATGTGAAGACCCTGTAATAAAGATAGGTAAAGGGGTGGTCAAGAGTCTGCGTTGGATCACAACACATTGCGGGCTCCCAAGGGGCTTCTTAACTTGCGGGCTCCCTTTTGGGTGAAACGCCATCAAGTCTTGCAGATTCTGTAGCAACCCTAGTAGCCCATCTCATTGAGAAACGCTCAAACCCTGAACTTCCTGAACCTTATTATCCCTGCGCTCGGAATGGGCCTCATTTCACCACTGTACAGTCCCGTAGGGTGCCTTTACCCACATGGCTCCTGCTTCATAACTCCATCAATTGGGAATGATTAGGAGCAGAAGCCATATCGTCCTCCACAAATCTGTGCTACAAGCCCATGCAGACAACTAAAGCCTGGAAGCTGAACCCTGAAGCCGAAACTCCACCCACTAAACCCCGAACACTATCTCCCAAACCTGCAACACTACACTCTAAACTCTAAACCCTGCCGCAGCGGTCAGCCTCGCCCAACACGTCCAGTAGTGCGACCCGCGCCGCTGGGGCCAAGGGAGGAGCCACCGCTGCCTCTTTGACGCCATCAGTAACAATGTGGTGAGGCTTCAAAAAATCATGGTCAAGTTTTTGAGGGTTCCTATGACTAGGATTGTGCATACTATACCGGAGGATATGTTAAAGGGGAGCTCTATTTCATCCAGGATAGAGCTTAGCAGGCTTACAAGCTTTCGGGATTCAGGTCTTATGAGGCCGTTTTAGTCAGGTTCAGGGATCAAAGCTCGAGGAGTGATGTTTCAGGGTGTGGTACTGTGGACTCCTAGTATCCCCCTTAATAACGCCAGTAGTCCCCTACATAAACCCCCTGATATTATCCCCTAGCTCATGTGGGCGTCTTTGGTGCTGATTGCACCAGTGTCTCATACGAACCATTGTTTAGTTTGGGCACATACCCATGCAGTGCCTGGGGTTCAGGAATGCAAGGCGCAGGAATGAGGGTTTGGCGATCAAGGCTCCAGGGATTCAGCATTTAGACTTAGTTCAAGACTCAGATGATCGGGGTAATATTTTGGGGTAATATTGGGAAAATGGAAAATAGAATGGAAGCTACTATTGTTATTATTATTGTTATTTTTATTGTTGTTGTTATTATTATTCTTGTTATTATTATTACTATTGTTATAGGAACCTTGCGTTCCGGGAGGCTCTTGCCTAGCTGGATGCCCCTGTGAGCTAAACTCTGCACTCTCTACACCCTAAACAACCCCCACACAATTCTCCAACAAGCCGGCAGCCCTAAGCTAGTCCCTATAGACCCTAAGCTAAGCTGTTAAATTCTACCCCTCTACCTGCGCAAGCTCTTTTCGAAGCAATCCCCGGCCTCGACGGCACGCTGCAGCACTGGGAGCTGCGCAGACTCAGCTTTGATTCCCAAATCCAATGGGAGCATGAATTACCTGGATTCTAGGGTTTCAGAAAACGGCGATTTCTGTATTACATGTAATGGAAAACGGAAATTTACAGAGTAGAATCCCTTTTGAAGGTTTCTACAAACTATCCACCAGTTGCAGTTGGTACTAGATCGCGGATCGAAACCACTTTCTAGATCCTCCCAGGGTTGGGGTTGCTGAAGGCTTGCGATCCGGCGCAGAGAAGTCAGCGAGGTGCGCCAAAACTATGGTCTCTACTTACGGGGATCACATATCAAGGAGTGTGCTGCTTTAGGGGTTAATAGCCTTTCGGAATGGCCCTCACTTTGGCACATACCCACCTTAGACTACCAAGCTGGAACTTGTTGTTGAGGACTGGACCCAGATGGACTCTCGCCAAGTCCTGATGGCGGCAACCCTGTCTGGCGACAGCACGCATCTCACCTTCAGCTGGGTTGGCGTTGAGGACCTAAATTCGAGTTAGCATACTATGGGTATATAGTAAATGCTGGGGTATCCTTGTTATAGTATCTAGTGATTGAACACAAAGTTCCTTAGCAGCATATAAGCCATTCAACTTAGAGGCTCAGGGGCTTAGGGGACTTGGATAGTTGGTTACAACAACGGAGTTCTGAGCAGACAAACCGCATAGGGGACTTATGATCCCATTTACAACCTACTTACTACGCCCCTGATTCCCAACATATTTCAGCAAGGCAAGAGGATTGAAAGGTAAGGAATGGGCAGCGTCCTTCCCCGCATGGCCTCAGCATTTGCGCATGTGCTGCCAACATCTGCAGCACGCAGATGCAGAAACTAAAAGTCAGGCACCTGTAGCTGATAATCTCGCAACGGCTCTGATCTTCCCGAACTCAATCAGTTGGATGACAACCTGGTATGGGCTTGTTGCCATCAATGTTCCTCGGATTTCTTGTCAATTTCTTCTGCGATAGCTCACAATGCACCTCCAGGGTCAGCCTTTGGGCAGCAAGAGGCCATTCTAAGCCCATCGAAACTCTTACACAGAACTGCTGGAGTGCATACCCTTTCCTGTTGACCGCTGACTTGAAAGCTTGAAATCTCGTCTTGATGCTCCTGTCGCAGGATCATGCTTACCGCGCTATGTGGCCTCGGAGTCCGGTGGTTTCTGAAAACAGCTGCTAAGGGACGACGAATGGCCAAAGCAACACTCCTAGAGGAATAGCAGTAGGTGTGCAAGTAGCAGCCTGGGAAAACGGTTGAAAGTCATTCAGGCGTAGTGAGCGCGTTGAAGGTCAAGTAACAGGCAGAGCCATAGGTCAACGAAGCGATCTTGCGTCTCAGCCTAAAGTGTATAAGTCCAAAGAACAAGAAGGGCTCTTTGAGAACACTACGCACGTTGACATGCACCGGAACATTCCCACGCTTCAAAATGGGGGAGCCGTTTCAGGGGGGGTCTCGTCATGGGTCTAGGGTCTTCTCTGACATGAAACTACTGAGCGAAGGATCTAACAAGCGGTATCTCACCAGTGCTTTTGCCTCAGTCACTGGGAAGCGCAGGCTGCACCAAAAACACCCCCGAGGAAATGTCTCTTTGCAGCGAGTTCAGGTACTGTCCTCCTGTCCATGCCGTCTTCTTGCGGCTGAAAACTTACATTAACAGGCGCAGCTGAAGCTAACTTCCACTCAGAGGGATGGATGCGAGACAGCGATAGAAGCCTGGGCATCCCATGGAACAATTTGGGGTTGAGGGTGTAGGTTTTACGCTATAAGGAGATTCGGCCAAACCGTTGTCAAAACTTGGGGGCTTCTTTTGAGGGTCCCAGAGTGTAGGGTGCTGCACTGAGCGCCGCAGCACAGTAGTGTATAGCCTTTGGCGCAGAGTGGGACAAGTTTCGACAACCGCTGGGTGGGTATTCTTGCTTCCCGATACCCGCTAGGTGCTTGCAAGGAGCCGTTGTCCCCCATCTCATCCAAGCAGGACAAGTGAATCTCTTTGAGCTGCACCGCACCGAAATCTACCTGCACTGTGGGCAGAAGCCTGAACATGGTCACATAGCATGCAGCGTGCGCAGTCGAGCAGCAAACATCTTTTTCCGATGCGTTTTTTTAATGGAAAATCGGTAGTGAAACTTCTGCCAGGTGTGCGTCATGCTTCCTTGCCAGGCTCATCCTTTGCTTGCTGCTGTTTGCGGTGCCAACGAAGTACCTGCAGCAGTGTGACATCTGAGAGTCTGCTGACATGATTGTGCCCACAGTTGGGAAGCCAACCTACCGAACCGATCATGCTGATTAAGATATGGCAGTTTCACAAATAGTTGGATCCGCAGGAACCTTTGTGAGATAATATGAAGATTGCTAAGGGAGCATGGGTTCTGTCAAGGGCAACGTTGGGGTGTTTTTGAGAAACTCCCCAAATCCCCTGTACAAGCGCCGCTGTCTCCTTCAAGCCGTCCCTGTTACGTCGAGGCATAGACAGTAAAAAGGCAGATTCCTCTTAGTAATACCATCCGAATTGAGGATTGTTAGTCAAGCGGCATGATAGCAGTGTCCTGAGCATGCATGAGGATTTCCAAGAAAGGGGCCCAACATGTTGAGACACGCCCTTACAGCTCCGTTATCTCTTCATATCCTCCCCCTACTCCCTACATCATGCCCAGCTTGTCAACAAGCCCAAGCACTCCCCCTAAATCCACATCTCGCAACCCTAAAACCGCTCTATGCATATGCAGACATGCACATATGTGTATATATCCAAAAAAATTGAAGAAATCCCTAAAAACATGGGGCGGTGCCTCCTCATAGGGCAGCTTCCCACCGAAGATGTCCAGGGCACTACCTAGCCAGCTCAACGATGGACTGCAACTGTGCGTGTTGCTACTACAAGCCACAGAAGCACTGTTCTAGCATACGAGTGCTACTAGTACCGTTCTTATGAAGAGGATCGCTTGCCCCTTCCATTTGTCATGGGCATTAGCGTGACTCTTTTTCTTGTACCAGCTTCGGCCCATCTGAAGTGAGGCCCTGAACTGCAACGAAGTCGGAAATTCCAAATCGCTGAATTACAGCGCGGGCTGGCCTATTGTGGCGTCCACTCGCCCGTTGCCTGCGAGATGCCAAGTCGGAGCAAGAGGGGCTTGAAGATCCTACAGTAAGTGCAACATGAACCCAAGACCTTCGGAGGTCAGTTCATCAATAACCGGGGAGCCAAGCCGAATCCTGCCCTAAGAGGAGCCAAATCCAGGCACGAGGCCTAGTTCTCGTATCCTCTCCATGTCCTGGCCGCGTTCTGCCACAAACTCCTGCCTCTAGCCATGCGCTGTGTAAGGCCAGGGCTTCCAAAGATCGCACCCCGCCGGCATACCTGCAAGAGTGAACCGATTGCTTGGGCTACCTGGTTGGCTATCTCGTGCACTATCGTCAGCCCCCTGCTGTGCTTCTGCATTCAAGGCATAGTGTCAACGAATGGCAGCGCACGTCACTGGGATTGGTGAGGCTGCCAACACCTGGACAAGGGGCTCCTGCGCAGTGCGTAGATTCACCCCTCAGCGGTGAGAGGCATCCATGCTCCAGGCGAGGTATAGCCAAACACTAGTGGGATACTATAGGATTTAGCTGGCCATGTTCCTTTGCAGGCTTGGCACTAGGATCACTGAAGCCCCCGTCACATCAAGGTGCAAGAGCTCCAGTACAACGTGTATAGTTTAAAGAGAAACCAAGGTCATGGAAAACAAGCGGAAAGCCCCGAACTGGGTGCCTGGTATACTTCAGAAGATGTATTGATTTTTTTGAATCAGTACAAGGCAATACGAATAGGAATGAAAAGAGTTTGTATGTGACGTCTTATCCCCGTGGTCCTCAATGCCGCTCTGAAGACCTTCCACGTCGACTCCATGTACCAAAAACTCGCTGCAGTGTTCCGCAAGCTCTCGGAGAGTCTCCTGCGCTTTGCAATTTCTCACTACTGTCTATTAAATCATGACAGCCCGTATTGCTGCTTGAAGTACTAGACATATTTCGAGGACCTGCACATGCGCTGCGTCCTCTGTGACCTCAAGGTCTGTCCATTTCTGCCACCTGTCTGTCACCACCTGTGCTGTGGCAGACTTCAGCACTGTTACCAAGGCGCATCACCAAGCATGAAAGCATGACTGGCACTATACAACGCGCTCACTGCGAGCACAGCAGGACAGCTGACCTCGCATGCTCAGCTCGACAGCATTTTTTGCAGTGCAATTGAAAAGCAATCGCGGCTTGGCATACTGATCTCCCTGTCCTTCCTCTACTCAGGTAACAATGAGTTCTCGCTTGGCATCTCCGTACTGATGCCTCTCGCGGTTGTAGAGATCTCTCAAAGCAGCTACATACTTGGAATGAGCTTCCTGCACCTCTTCATCAGTGGGGGATCCTGGCACCTTACAATCAAGCTCCATTGGTTCTCCCATCACGACGTGGACGGGGAACCGCAGTGGCAGAAGGCCCATCGCACCATAATACAGCGGGATGCAGACGCCAAAGCTCTTGCGAAGCCACTCTCGAGGTGCTTGCATGAAGCTTGTGAAGGTCTTGTAGAGGTCTACGCATCCGAAGACGTAGCAGGGTACGACTGCTGCTCGCTCTTGAAGAGCAAGCTTGATGAAGCCCATTCTCTTGGACAAATACACCTCCTCCTTGCCTTGGATGGTGCGGATTTGCTCCTGCTCGCCGCCAGGAATTACCATTAGGCTGTGGCCCTTACGCAATGCACGCGCAGCAACAGATTTGCTCGCGTCAATGCACCGGGTCCAGAGCGAAAGCTCTCGGACCATCGGCAAGTAAAAGAGGACAGATGCACTCAAGGTCAGAACTTCACGATCCGGTAAAGCATCGTACATCATGCCATCCAAAAGGATGCGAAAGTCACTGGCGACACCATGCGGGTGCACGGCTAGCACAACAGGTTTGTCCGCGGGCCGTTCGTACAACGAGGTGCTGACATGCAGCCGGAGGCGGAGGTAGCGTCTAAAGGCGTGGTAGCCCCACTCTTGCCGTGAGAACCACTCCCAAGGAAGCCCGGAATGACGTTCAGCACGGGAAAGGAAGCGCGCGTATACGAAGTAATTGACAGTGGGCAGGCATAGCCATGGACGATGCCAGCAGCAAATGAACAACAGCAGCGGCGATGCAAAGCAAGTACACATCACAAAATTCCAATAGAAGCCCAATGCAAAGGCATACTTTGCTCCCTCTGCAGGGTCGCCCCGACCAGGCTGCCAAAGTAGACGCGGCAGTGCCAGGCAAATGTAAAAAGCAGCGAGCGAGGTACAAGGCCAGGAAGATACGCACAAGCAGCAAAGGCCTTCAGGGACTTGCTTCAGAAGGTTTTGAACACTTGTCAGGCCTGGTTAAAAAAGAAAAGCACATGACAACTTTGGACTTGTAGGCATGCAGGGGTAGACTGCGCGTCCAATTTTTCCGCGCCCTGCGCCCGTACTTTAAAATTGCCCATGCATGCTACAAAGGAAGCTGTGACTCCTAGCCATTTCTTGAGACTTCCCGGCCACTTCTGATCTCTTACAGGAGATTTGCAAAGGTCAGCCCTCGTCTTCATACATCCCGTCCTGGCAGGAAGCCCACGAAAGCCAAAGCAGTCAAATGCAAGTCTGGTGTGCAGTTTGGGCAGCAGCTCGAATCGAACGTGACATCTTTGGCCATGACGGCAGAAATTGGCAGGCGTTGGAATTATGGCCGTTGCTCAAGGGTCCTGATATTTGAAACAATTAGTCTATGGTGTCGCATATCTGCTAATTCCTAAATCCCTAAATAGTGGTTTCCATTCTCTTTTCCATTATCCCCATATATCCCCTATTTTACCCTACCCTCAAAATCAAAATTCACGCTAACCCACAGTTTCAACAACTTTGAACGGCAAAATCAAGGTAAGCACCCGGTGCTCAAAACTACCTCGAGCCAGAAGACCCACGGTCAGTCAGGGCTTAGGGTTAGGGTTTTGGGTTTAGGGACCGGTGCTGCTGGAACGTCATGCAGGCTGAAAACGGGCCTTGTACACTGGCTTCTTGGCCTTGTCCTGAAAAGCAGCCAGGCAGCAAGTCGATCATCTGTCACTAATCATGGATGGCTGACTGTCATTCTCATTCTTTGTTGTCCTTAACAGCCAAGCATTGTCAATGCCAAAACCATTTCTAGCCAAAGAACACATAATCAGTCTGTAGCCAGCATTGGGACATCGCACAGCACAGGACCCTCTATAGCTTCAGCAACTCCCATACTCGTTGCGATAGTATTCACTGTTGGAGTAGCAGTGGCGGGCCACAAAGCTGCCCCAGGGAAACCCATAACCTGGAAAATCTCACGTTATTCTTACTTCCCCTAACATTCTCAGTATGACTCAAGCCCATGCGAGTAATTGCGAGCACCTCCTCTGGCAGCCGTCTGCAGCTCAAGTCAAGGACTAGGCGCGCTTTGCCTTGGTGCAAGGCCAATCTTTGGCACTGCCCTGCCAATCCAAGGTATGTTTGTAGGAACAAAAAAATCAGACCCAGTGCAGAAAGCAATTCTACTATTCAGTTCCATGGCAAGGACACACATCATGCGAATCGGAGTCTTCAGCTTTTGCGACCTGTAAGGTCTGGGCCAACTTTTTCAACCAATGCTGCCAGCCTCTCCTTGTCCACCTGAAAGCTAGGCAGATATACGCCAAAGGCTACACGCTCCATGTAGGTACAGGAAGAAACACGATGAGGTTTGTAGGGATAAAGCAGGATAGGGTTGGAGACTCGTGGTCGAAGTGGGCTTCTCAAACATGAAAATTGTCACTGAGTAGCGTTCAGGCTTCTAGAGCCTCTGGTTTTCTAGGAAGCTGGGTTTAGGATCTGGGGTTTCAGGGGAAGGGAAGTTCTCGTGTGTGGACGCACTGCGAGACGCTCATGTGCTCCATGGTAACTATAACTGTGAGGACTTAGAGGTTACATAACCTGGCAATGACTAGGGAGTTCTCCTGCCCAGCCCAAATGCGGATCTACATGGGTGTGTTAGATAGGGGGTGTAGCACATTCATAGTAGAGTTCTACAGGTGAGAAAGGGGAAGCCATAGGACAATGTGGTGGCTTCCAAGTTCTCATTGTTGATGGAAAGGAAAGTGGAAGCTATCATACAGAGTAGCTGATCAAGTACTACTAGTATTAATAACAGTGCTACTACTAATACCAAAAGGAATAGTCATACTATTAATAGTAAAAGCAGTAATCAAAATGAAAGTAGTAACAGTTCCAAAAATGTTTACAGTAGTAGTAGTAGTAGTAGTAGTAGTAGTACTCAAAGTCTAGGGGAGGCACCTTCCCGTCATGGAACACATACGAGGTGACGATCACGTGGCTGGCTCCTCAGAGCTTTGTTTCCCAAAATGAGGGGCATGTTGAAAGGGGATTGTGGGGCATATATCGGGTTATGTAGGGGAAGATTGTAATATTTTGGGGTCCATATTGGGGTCCCGCGATGTTGGGAAACTACTAAATGAAATTCCAAAAAGCAGGGTGACCAAAGGCCTGCCACCGACCAAACCTTACTGGTGATTAGTAGGGAATAAAGGAATATAACATAGGATTTAGGGTTAGGAGGCAATAAGGGAATGTAGTCCCTATAGCAGAAATTCCCTTATTCCCTATGAACCCCCAGTGAGAAACATGGCCTGCTTCGATATACTCCATTGCATTTTCTGCGTTGATTCCTCCCCCGACCTGGCATGCACTCAAGGTCAAAACTGATGCCAGCATGCTTTGCGTGTATCATATCACTATAGGTACTAGTAGGAATTGCAATAGTAGTACTATAGTCCCCTTAACTAGATAGAACATGGCTTGGTGTATCTTATAATAAGATCCCCATATACCCCATATTCTATCTACTTAAGGGGGACTATAGTTATAACAATACTAGTACTGGTCTCATGAGTATTCGAAATTGTAAAATACAAGGAATCAAGGGAACCTTTCAACATCTCACGTGACCACAATGCCCTAACATGATAGTCATGACATCAATCGATTTGCCTTGGAGAGCATATGGCCTTCACGCTGCATAGACATCCACCTATATATACATATACCATATATAGATATATATATATACACATGACATATCTGCAATGATAGAAGCAGCCAAAAGCGAAGATAGCCTGCCCTGGTTGCCAAGGCCTGCAGCCCACCAGGATAAGCCTTGAGGGCTTCCAGGGCCTGCCAAACACAAGCTTCATTTTCCTTCGTGGCATCTGCAAGTTCAGCTAAACTACAGAGCTCAAAATGCCGTCCAAATACAAGGTCCCTGATGTAGGCACTTCCGCAGAAACCCAATTATCACGCTCGAGCGCCATGGCATCGTCGATGTGAAGATCTCCAAAAGGCGCAGAATTTTGCCGTTGACCAAGTTCAACTCTTCCAACGGGTCCTATTCTGTCATGCTTGAATGGTTGGTTTACATCAAGCGCGACGGGCGGGCTGCCGCTTTGTTCGCATCGGAGGCACCCAGCATGATGGCATGACCGCCACCTCTAGAAGCGTCCTATGGGCTTTCAAGGCTCATCCCGGACGCAACGGCTTGGCGCATTAAGATTGACCTAGACATTGTTATCGTAATCCCCACGACAGTTACGAAGTTGCCAATGTTTTTCAAGTCTCCATCTTGTTGCAGGTGCTTCTACGAGCAGTGGTACTGATTCGATATCCTTGTTGTGCTGCTACTGCTTATTATTGATCCTTCTATGACGACAAGGATGGTGAGGACAACTGGTATAGCTACATACAGCGTTGACTACGACTGCAACTCTTGCGACGATGATGACTGCTACAGCGAGAAGGCAGCCTTTGCGATTAGTATCGTTACTGCCATCTTCAGTCCCATGACCTGCCCTAAAATAAACATCACCTCTACAGCCCTCTAGAGCCCTATTTCAACATCAGGTGTCTACCTACAACAAAAGGCATTCAGCTTTTGTGAAAGCAACCCTAAACCCTAAACCATAAATCCTGAACCCTAAATCCTAAACCCTAAACCCTAAACCGCAACCCCAAGCCCTAAACCCTAAAACCCTTGATCCTAAGGAGCAGGCCCAGTCCATCACTACGGTACTTCTCCGCAAACCAACCCGAGGGCCTCGATCACAACGGCCCAATCCAAGCAGAATACTGATAAGTTAGGGTTTAGGGTTTAGGGTTATGTAGGGGTTATATAGGGATATTATAGGGATAATGGAAAAGAAAATGGAAGCTACTATTTAGGATTTAGGGTTTGGGTTAGGTGGACCCCCCACCCAGTAATAGTGACTATAAGGGATAATGGGGATTATATTAGGGTCCTCTCATATTCCTATCATACCACTATTGCACGGTGGGGGGTCCTCCTAACTGATAAGTTTAACTTACTGGTTCTTAGTAGGGACTAAGGGAATATACTATATGGGGATTATATAGGGATTCTATTCCCTTCTAGGAACCAGTAAGTTAAGGGGTTTGGTTCGGGTCATTCCCCCTTACTGTAACTGTCCTTAAAGGCACCAAACTAATTGGCAATTATCACTCCTATTACTCATTGTGGTAGCAGTTACTACTGTAATGGGGAATGACCGATAGTATATTATGGTAGATTATAATATATTAGAGTATATTATGGTATATTATGATACACTCTGGTATATTATGGTAGATTATACTATATTATAGTATATTATGGTATACTATAATACATTATGGTATATTATGGCAGATTATAGTAGATTATAGGGCTTGGGGTTCAGAGCAGGCTGGGGCCTGATGCCTTGTTGGGACTTCGTAGGCATCACATGAAGGTATGGAGGGGCAGCCAAGCACAAAACGAGCACAGCAATGCAATAACCGTAGCCATTGCCAGTAAAGCTTGTAAAGGAAGCCAATAAATGGATCTATTAGATAGTAAATTCAAAAACTAATGACCTATTCAACGAATTAATTAACCAACCAGTTACAGTAGTTCACAAGTATCAGCCGCTCAGGTTGGTACTGGGAAGCTGAGAAGTTCGTCACCAGCGACTCTGAGTCGTCTTTCAGGGTGCCGCCGACAATCTGTTTCACCTGGAGGCCATGGAGGCCTGAACAGATACATCTCTATGATACATCCTCCTGAACCTGAGAAAGTGTATATATCTTATATTAATATAACTTTGGTAGTGTATGGCGGATATCAACACTTGGGAGGGGAGCTATGTTTAGCAAAGCAAGTGGAAAGACTGTTGGCAAGCACCTGCCCGCTGTGGATGTCGATGCAGGGCCTGCAGGGGGCGAATCACATAGAACCATCAGCAATTGAACCACGCTGTTACCAGCAGTTGTACCTAGGACAAGCGCAAGTACTGGCACAGGGCACTAGTTAACAGTTATAACAACCGCCAAAATACGAAATTATCATCGTAGAAGTAGCAGCAGGGAAACAGCTCAAAGAAATGCATCATCAGGCACAGAAAAAATGAAATGTCGGTGCCGAGAAATCACAGGGGATTTGCATAAACTAGGGGGTTCTTTTTTGGGGGTCGCAGCTATGAGGATTATAGCATTTTGGGGTCTAGTATTTGGGGGTCATAGGCGCTCAGTGCTTCCTGCCTGAACTTCATCTGAATAGCCAGGCCGCAGTGCCAAAAAGCGTGGCCAAAGAAACAAGGCTTGTCTCCGCTGAGCATGCATATCAACATTCCTCAGCATTTTTACTCTTAGTGCTATTGATATCATTATGATTATGATTGTTCTTCCTATTTGTAGTATTAATACTACCTCAACCCTACTACTATTATTGTTATGTATATGGTTTCTGTGCTCTTGGCTGCTCGTGGCTAAAGCTTTGAGCCAGAGCTGAGACAGGACAGTCAGAACATGTGGCAGTTTCCCTAAACAGGGCCGCAATATAGACCCAAGAAATGGAGAAACAAATGGAAAAGCAAATGGAACATGAAATGGAAGCTACTATATAGAGTATTGGTATGGACCCTAAATTCTAGAGTCTCTATAACATGAACGACCACTAATTTTGGGAACTGCCCCTGTTCTGGCAACCGGGCTGCATGATCGGCTACAAACGTCTTGGACCCCGAGACCTTTACCTAGAAAATAACATGTTTTTGCAAGCGGTTCGCCGACCTTTTTTGTAATCCCGGGATCCCTTAATGATCCGTTGTATAGAAACCAAATTAAATCCTACGCGCTGCCTGCCCGAAGCGCTCCATCAGTACGCTGGCGTCGAAGTTCTCCCTGGGAGCTGCACGATCATCAAACCGAGATCGCGCATACCTTGACAGGCTTCTCATCACCACTCCATATTCAGGCGATTTGGGCCCAGTATTTGGTGCTTGAAGTCGATTACTTCAATCTACATGTGATCGTTTTGTACGACGTGACAGTCCTCACGGTCCCCCTGTAGAACAGAACAGCAAGCATTGGGCCATGAAGAAAATGCGAGGTTCGCAGCTTTGCATACCCCTATATCCCGGAGTTGTGACATGTACAGGGGCCCCATGGTCGCATCAACTCCCCTTAAGCCCACCACGTCCCACAATAAACCCCCATCAAGTGCCGTTAAAGAGCAGGGAGTTTTGCTATTAATTACTGTGATTATTGTTGCTAATAGTACTATTTGTACTATTACTATACATTACTATATTGCTAGTCTTCTTCTTACGGAAAGGGGACTGATCTGAGCTTCAGACTTTGTGTTCATCAGTGTTGCATGGAGCTTGACCTGCAGCAATCATCATTCCGAAGCTCCGTGACTCTAAAAGCAAGGTGGGGGGGTTCCTAAAAACTAGGGGGCCTTTGCAGAGGGAACGTAGAATAGGGATGACAGCATTTTGGAGTCTATCTTGGGTATCCCCTTACCTGGAACCTACAATGTACAACGCGCACTGCGCAGTCGAGAAGAAACGATCAATTCACAATGACCTTTGATCACACGCTCACAGGTCTTGTCGTCCATGCGCGTGGGTGGTCTCAAGACGGAGTAGCCCACAAAAAAACAGGTGTCCTCCCCCTTAACATACTCCAATCTGCTATAACTGTAGTCCTTTTTGGGCACCCCTCACAAGGCCACAGTTTCTGTAAAGCTTAATGTAGTGGTTCGATGACTTCATTGGTCAATTCCAACCGCGTCATGCTTCCCGCTACCATTTGGTAGTTTCTCAACATGGATTACCCCAGAAAGGCTAGGGATAAATATGCATTATGTAGGAAGGTTCTGAGACACACCCATAGATTAAAGGCCCCAAGGCCAAAACGAGATGTCCCCCAATCAACGCTCTCCCTCTTCTCGAACCACCTTTAAGCCTCCTAGGTTGGCCCCTAAAACCCGTTGAAAAATATTAGTATATAGGGTCCCCTATTAAAGCCATTAGGGAAATATTAAATATCCCAGGGGCCTACCCAGCCTCCTAGTGCTCCTCCCAGCCTCCGCATGCTGGCCGTCTGAGGACAATAGCCGCTGGGACATCAAGTTCTGGGCCGATACCAGGTTTCGTGCCTTGCCCAGGATATGTAGCAGCCATGAGGTAGTTTGCCTGAAGTTCTGCTCCCCAAAATCAGGGAAGAACAAGGAATCCAACTGTAAGGAAGTCAAGCATTACACGAGCTCTATGATTTCCAGTGCTAGTGTTGCATCCCTTTCGTACTGTTTTTGTCAACAGTTGCCCTGGCAGCTAAGCACTTCTGTCACCGCTGCTGTTGTTGACAACACTCGTGTGGTGCTGAGTCGGAGTCTCTGATTCGCATGCATATTTCAGATCTTTCTGTTTGTGCACTGAACACTACTGGGTGTTTCCAAAAAGTGGGGCTCTCCTTCCAGGGGTCCCTCTGAAACGGGCTATGATTGTTTAATATGTATTGGGTCCCGCATTTGTGCGACTACCAAATAGTCCTCTACACGCCCCACAAAAGGTGATCCAAGTTGTGGGTCACCCCACAGAAGCCTTGACATTCCAGTTGGGCGCCTTTCAACTTGTAAGCCCCACTTTTGGGTCGATGTACACTCAGGGTGCCAGGCTTTTGAGTGAGGACCCCAAATCCCAGCCATTAAATCCTGAAACCCTATGTGAGCTACTGTCTAAACTCCTAGTATCCCCCTTAATAACCCCTATAGTAGTCCCCTATATAATCCCCAATATAACCCCCCTTTAAGGAGTTTAGACTATAGGTCATGTAATGCTCTAGGGGGCCTAAGACCTCAGCCCTGACACCCGCCTGGAAAAGCTCGAACATCGAGTCGGCCATAGAATTCATGCCTTTCTGCGCGCGGAGGTGACTGGGTTGATAGTTTACTTCGTTTGGGATTATAGGGTATATATTGGGGTTATATAGGGATAATGGAAAATAAAATGGAAACTACTCTAATGGGGTTACATAGGGATTATAGGGTATATATTGGGGTTATATAGGGATAATAGAAAATAAAATGGAAACTACTATAGTATATTGGGGTTATATAGGGATAATGGAAAATCATATGGAAGCTACTCTAATGGGGTTATATAGGGATTATAGGGTATATATTGGGGTTATTTGGGGATAATGGAAAATAAATTGGAAACTACTATAGTATATTGGGGTTATATAGAGATAATGGAAAATCAAATGGAAACTACTACAGTATATTGGGGTTATGTTGATGAATGTACGAATGTACAAATGTATGAGCGCAATGTACCATAATGTACTGTGCGTAAAGTAAGTGATATTTGATGATGTAGGTGTGTAGGAATGCAGGATTGTACGTACGTCAAGAGCGCAGGATTTCAGATTGAAGGTTTACGCAGGAGAGCAGGAGATGCATGTATGAAGTGTGGTTGAACCACTTTGTTCTGCGCGTACTGATGCATTCAGTAGGGAAAATCTTGCAGACTGAGCAGCTTACAATTTCAAATAAGCAGGTTACCAGCAGTATTACTTAGTATTGCTGATGCAATTTCACGTGCTACTTCTGGTTAGAGCGTCGCTGCCGCAACTGCAATTTCCATTGTGTAAGAACCACTTCAGACGGGAAGCGATTCTGCAACTCCCTGGACCGATCTGTGGTGAAGATGACTCCAACCTCAAAGAACCGCACAGACATGATTCTGGAAGGACAATCCTTACGGGTCGTAGTAGGGAATCGAGGAATGGACAAGAAAATGGAAATGACCCTATTATCGAGGGGATTCTACCGGGGCTGCCGTTTGTCTATTCGCTACTACGATTAGCAACCAGTCAGCATCACCACTAGAATCACCATGCTACCGGCACTACTGGGAGTGGTAACAGTACATGTCTTTCATGCTGTTGTCTGTCTCGCCGTCGTAACCGTCATTGGTGCGTAATTGTCATCGTAATGGCAGTCGTCATAGTACTAACAGTAATACCAGTAATTGCTTTAGAAGAAGGAATAATACTTTCTAGGAGAAGGACCTTTGCAGTAGTGCAGTAGCAGGGGATACATCATAGCGAAGACAGACTCTCTCAAAAATTGAAAGGAATGAACACATGTGAAGGTTGTAATGGTACAAGTTGCAGCAGCTGAGGCAAAGGCGCTTGTGGGGTCATCTGTAAAGATGTGCAAGCCCTGGCTTCGCAGTGGCGTTGGCTTGCTCGAGCTTGCAAATACATAACTCAATCGTGCAAAAGCAACTCAGATCATTGTTGGTTCACATTCGGTCCTCCTGATACTTCCGTCAAAGGACCACTACGAAAGGAGACTGCAAGTACAAAGTGCATTTCTCACGCTCGCATGCATGGTAGCAACGCAACGCCTTCATGTGAGCTAGAACCGGTCTTGCATAGTCCGATGTAGCCGAAAGACCTGGCGCGCGAGTCAATTCCGAGACTTCACACTTCTGGTTGTGGAACAGAATTTCTTGCTAAGCCCTAACAAGGAATGGTTTTGCTACCAGTGCCACCTGTACCAGCAACCAGTAGCCTGCTCTAATGTTAAATTCTTCAAGCAAGGCAGGCTCTAATGTTAAATTCTTCAAGCAAGGCAGGCCGACGAGCAGATAGGTCCTTCAAGGCCTGGCGCATGCCAGCAAGGCTACGCCAGATTGCAAAGCACTGGTGTTGAATGGTACTACAGCGACGAGAAGTCAACACTAGCACGAACGCACTGCAGTCACAACCTAGCCCTGGTTTTCGTTGAGTACTTTCCTACCATGCAGAGAACCTCCAAATTGAAATTTTGGGATCAAAGACACACTCAGTAAGTAAGGAGTAGCAGTGAGGGAGTGTAATAATGTCATGCTTCTACCTCACCTCTCAGACTTTTTCCCCAGGTTCCAGCCTCCTTCATCTCATCCACTTGAGCATGCGAGTGCAGCTTCAGCATACAAAGAGTGAAGTGCATTCGCCTCTGTATGCCGAAGCTGGTTCAGGGTTTGAGAATCTTGGAATTTAGGTTCTGGAGTCATGTTTTAGGGGTTTAGGTCCCCCACCCTTGGCATGAAACATCCCGTCCTAGGAGTGATTTTCCTTGTTAGGCTATTAATGCTCTTCGAGCAAACACTCATATGTGTGGCATGGAAAGAAATAATCCCCTATATTCCCCCAGTTTCCATTTCATTTTCTATTTTCTTTTCCATTTGATTCTCCATTATAGTAGTTTCCATTGTATTTTCCATTATCCCAATATCTACCCCAATATATACCCTATAATCCCTATATAACCCCATTAGAGTAGTTTCCATTTTCTTTTCCATTATCCCAATATAACCCCATTATAGTAGTTTCCATTTTCTTTTCCATTATCCCAATATAACCCCATTAGAGTAGTTTCCATTTTCTTTTC